TCCAAGCATCTGCTTTGATAACATCTTTGAATTTTTATAAATCTCATAATACAAACAATACCAAATGTCAGGGATGTTGTTTATTTGGTTGGATGACCATAAAAATGACTACAGTTATACAGGACATTATCGGAAAGGAAATAAAATGACCAATAAATCAAGAATACAGAGCTATGGAGAATTAGTCTTAATTATCCCAATCTTTTTCGTCCTGCAATAAATTAACATTAAAAGGTCGTAATAATATGCGTCTACAATGGTAGAGAAAATGAAAATTTTAAACTAGGGACTACATATTAAGTTGTATTGGTAACAGACATACATGTATATATTTACAGTAAAAATGTGTTCGTGCGAACGGGTGGTCAGATTACTTTAAAACTACAAAGCCTAATTATTTAACCGTCCATAATGCTAACGCATGGCCAGTTAACTATGGAACTTAATGAGCTAATTGTCCATCGAATGTGTATAACAATGTTCTTACAGATTTTCATGCCAATCTATGTAAAACTGTTCAATATTGTATTTGATACTGGAAAAGTGCCTGAACTTTGGCTTGTTGGTAATTTTATACCTTTTTATAAAAACAAAGGTGACCAATCAGATCCTCAAAACTACAGACCAATAACTATATTAAGCTGTATGGGTAGACTTTTCACGTCAAATTTGAATTTAAGACTTAGTAAATTTTTTGAAGAATATTTGTTGTTAAAGAAAACCAGTTTGGTTTCAGAAAGGGCTATTCACTATAGACAGCATATTTACTCTGCATATTTCATTTGAACTACTGAGACAAAAAAAGAAAAAACTTTTTTGTGCTTTTATTGATTTTGCTAAAGCATTCGATACAGTTTGGAGATCTGGTCTTTGGTCAAAACTCATTTTACATACAGTGAATGAGATGTATAATACTTTATTATATACTTAGTAGTAAATACAGATAAATTGTATGTGTAATACAATCATTGGCAAGCGTGCTGTATCAGCCACCCGTGATGATATCGATATCAGCACGGTTGCAAAGGCTTTATCACACCTTTAATCTGTATGACGTCACGTCATCGATTGCAGTCACTGTTGCAAACTCTAATCTGTATGACGTCATGTCAAACCTATTATCTGTATGACGTCATTTCAAACCTCCTTATCTGTATGACGTCATGTCACATAAAAAGCATCTACGTGAGGTATATGTATATAATAAAGTGTATATGATATGGCTTTTTCAATATCACACACCGTATCAACCCTCAACCAATATAATCCCTCGAGCAGAGCTCTTGGGATTATATTGGTGCCTCGGGTTGATACGGATGTGATATTGAAAAAGCCATATGATATTCTCTATATATTTAATATGTATAAAAATGTCAAATCACGAATTTTCAGTGATGGTGAATATTCAGATTACTTTCCATGTAATGTGGGTGTAAGACAGGGAGAAAATTTATCTCCTATACTTTTCTCTATTTATTTAAATGATTTGGAAAGCTTTTTTCAGAACAAAAATATGAAAGGTTTGAAATCTTTATCAGATCAAATAGAGAACGAGCTAAATATGTATTTAAAACTGTGTGTTGTATTGTACGTCGACGACACTGTATTTATGTCAGAAACACAAGCAGATCTACAAAAACAATTAGACGCTTTAAAGGAGTATTGTGATACATGGAAATTGAAAGTCAATGTCCCAAAAAGCAAAATAGTAATTTTTTCTAAAGGTAGACCACTACAAAATGTTATTTTTGAATATTCTCATATTGAGTTAGATATTGTTGGTTACATATCTTGGCGTATTAATTTCTAGAACAGGAAGTTTCACAAAAGCAAAAAAGGCACAACCCGAGAAAGCAACAAGGGCTATGTACGATATTCTAAAAAAGGGGAGATTACATAATTTAAACATTAAATGTCAACTAGAATTATTTGACAAAGTAGTAAAGCCAATATTATTGTACGGGTGTGAAGTCTGGGGAATGGGTAACACCTCTGTTAGAACGTGTTCATCTAAAATTTTGTAAACTACTGCTTAATCTTAAAAAATCCACTCCTGATTACATGATATATCGGGAACTTGGCCGCTTCCCACTGGATATTTTTTATTAAATTGCGTACTATTAATTATTGGGCAAAGCTTGTAACTGGAGAAGAAAAGAAACTTCCTGTTATTCTATACAATCTTGTTACTGGTAGTTTTTATGGAAATATAGCTTGGTGTAAGAATGTAAAATCTGTGCTTGATAATTGTGGACTATCAAATATATGAAACACTAAATATTTTATAAGTAAAAACTGGTTGTACAATACTGTTAAATTAAGATTACCTGACCAGTTCAGACAGACATGGTATGCTACTCTACAGAATTCTCCAAAAGCTCTAAATTATAAATTATTCAAAAATAGTATAAATTTCGAAACCTACTTTGATATTTTAGATGACAAAAATATTGCTTCTTTTTGTAGATTTAGAACTTTGAACACAAAAATTCATATCGAAATTGGTAGATGGCAAAATATCCAGAGAGAAAATCGTATTTGTACTTAGTGTAATTCCGGTGATATTGGCGACGAGTTCCATTATATTTTAGAATGTTCGGCAATAAACGAATGTAGACAAATGCTACTAAAGAATCATCTTGTAAACAGACCAAATATTTTTTTAAATTTCAAGGTGTCTAATGAATAGAAACAACCCGTCTGAATTAAACAAGCTGTGCAAGTTTATAGGAATAATGATTAAATGCCTAGAATCTCCTGGGTAACCACTTTATGTCTCTACTTTACATTTGTATTTAAAATTTATACTATGTATGTTAATTTATTTGTATATGTCTCTATACCATTGTACTTTGGTTTACGAGAATAAAGATATATATATATATAAAGGACACCATAATGTATAACCGTTCTGTAATCCATCTCACAGAGGACACCATAAATGTATAACCGTTGTGTAATCCATCTTACAGAGGACACCATAATGTATAACCGTTGTGTAATCCATCTAACAGAGGACGCCATAATGTAAAACTATTGTGTAATCCATCTTACAGAGGACACCATAATGTAAAACTATTGTTAATCTATAAAAATCCGTTACTTTGCAGAAATTTAACAATATTGGCGTTTATCATTAGGAAGCATCTGCGGAATTTTCTGCATTTCAAAATTATATTTTTTTTTTCTTAATTTTTCTACATTTTATACATTACTTTTCAAGAGTAAACATTTTGAATGCAGACAGTGTACAACTCATAATTGGATCGACATACTGGACGTTTGCGTTTGATGTTTCGGGAGGGTTTTTATCCACTTGTGAATACTACTAGTATATTGAAAGCTTTCAGAGAAACCAAAAAGACGCGTCTTTAATTTCTCATAAAGTATGTAACTCAACACATTCGTAAAATGGGATATAGGCTTATAATTTATTGCGGGGAAAGGGGGGGGTCAGAAAGGGGGAACATATTAGAACTATTTATGATTAAATTAAAGGTCATAACTTTTAGTTAGCAGTTAACTGGATGCCCGTGACATTCAACTTCTTGAAAAATTGGTATATTCTTAGTGGTGAATCTAGCAAACATTTAGTTTCCTATAAGCTAGTTTATTTTTTAAAAGTTGTTGCCTTTCACCTTTTAAATGAAAAAAACAAGCCGTATTTTTTATTCAGTTAGGCACTCATTCCCACACTGCTTAATGCGCAGAGAAATCGTCGATATGTGTGTGCAGTCAAAATTAAAAATAAAATTACTATTCCTAAATGTGTATATAGTTTTCAAATTCTTAATATTAAAGAATTTATACTTATATAAGAATGCATGGTGTGTAACACTGTTTAGTATAATAAGAATCGTTAAACACAAATAATGCATATTATTTTATAAAGCTAGGTCCCAGTTATAAAGTACTAGTAAGCGGAATATTTGGAAAAGATATATCTAAGAAAAATCTAATTATAAAGCAAATGCAGAGAGCTCTAAAGCATATAAAATAACACAAAAAAAGGTGTTCCATTATTGTTGGACTTGGAAAAGAATCATATATATACCAAATAGTGTTACAATATATTAGCTGACTACTTTTAAGCATTCTTTCTTGTGTGACTGTTGTCAATTGAATCTGTCCCTTGAAGGCCCATTGACATGAATGGCTGGAGAAAAGATGCATATAAAGAATTATAATTTTAAATTTATGCAAGATTAGCTCAAATATATTTCATCAAAATGACCCAACGAAAGCCATACATCTGCCTCCTATAGTATTTGTTTAACATAGAGTCTAAAGTAGTCATCTGCTTAAGCCAGACGGTCAGCATGTGTAAACGATCATAAACTCCGGTTATGGTCATTTCGTCTGATGTTAAGGCTTTCTAATAAATGCCTTCAGACCGATAATTATTGATATCATAAGTCCAATAATTATGGTCGTAAAATTTCAATTACTTGATTAATTATAATATATTGTTGAATATAATTACAATGATTTTAATATTTTTTTTCCGGGTTGTTAATTTTTGATTGTCAATTTAAAATATTAGTTTGAAACAACTATTTATTATAATCTAAAAGTATAGTCATCGTAGTAAATTAAGTTATGTTAATAATATATTTCGTTTTTTAACTTTACATATACCAATTTTATTTTAAATAGTATTTCGTATTTGTATATTTGTCTCAAGAGATAATAATAATCATGTTTATTAAAATTTTAATTCCCATATATATAAAACCCAAAAAAACAAAAAATGTCCTGTTTATCTATATCCATCTAAAGTTTTATGTGCAAATTGACTTTTTTGTTTTGTTTTTCATTCTTTTTACTAATATATATATATATAATATATATTATATTATTTTATTTTATTTGTTTTTTCTTATTTGCTTTTTAGACGAAAAGATTTAATTCAAAATATCTGTGAAAAATCAAGTATAATAAAAGGTGAGTTAGTTAATGTGATTGATGCCCATTTATACGGATATAAGAAAATTACTTACATTTGCTAATTTCTTTTTCTGACTTCGTGCTTTCCTTATCAGTAACGATGATGCATTTTTAAATCCAATTTCTTGGGGAAATACCACTCATTCTTCACTCTCCTACGAAAAGGTGCTTTCCTTTAGTTCCTTTGGATCTGCTACTTTTATCCCATATGTCAACTTTTGCAGTTTATATCTCTCCGCTAACGACACTAATTATTATGCAAATATACATACCACTTCACGAATAGCAATACCCGACCGCAGTACGACCTACGCCATCTGTCTTAAAAACTTCTACCGTTATTCCTCTGCGCTGATTGGCTAATCATATGGGTTCGGACAAATCAAATTGTTTCATACAAAGCAAAAATTCAATACACCACTACACCTCTTACGGGAAAAAATAGAAATTTACGGAAAACAAGATCTCGTTTTTAAGTTTAAGACCATAAAAAATAGAAAAGACGAAAATACAACATAGAATATAATCTGCAGTTTTAGTACCGCTTGATGAGTTTATGTATCACTTCACCTTTATTGATAAGTTCTGTAGCGAAGTGGACATTTGACAATTGATTACAGTCGTCTTGTGCAGTAAGTGTTTTCCGCAACTTATCTTTAAGTTGGCACGCGCCACAGTGTTGTATCCCGGGATACAGGATTATAACTTCTTGGATACAAATGTAATTAGAGTGTTTTAAAAGTTTGATTCCGTGTATTGCACCTAGTTATCTAATTTATTATGGTCATTTTACGATCTGGATCGAACAAAAAAGATAAAATATTTTCAAAGCGCTGATTTTGAGGGCTTTTATGCCAATAGTTGTATTAAATTAATGAAGGTTTTTATCACTACTATATGTTTCACCAACGTGGGAGACTATAATTTAAGCTATTCCCAGCATAGTGACGTCGATGTTTATTATTTAAAAATTGCAGGATTATGTTATCTGCTGCATCGCAAAATATTGCCATCTCCTAAATGTTTATTTATCTATATCAAATTCAAATTTTGCGCAAAAGGCAATACGATTGAAAAAAAACACTAATTTAAATAATAATTCTATGTACAAGAAAAAAAAGCAAGGCATGAAAAACAAAAATGTGTGGATATGTGATACGATTGCTAATGAGACTATATCCATAAACACCAAAGATAAACTATGTGAACAATTACTGGTTATCGTACGGCCTTCAACAATGAGCAATACTATATATACCTATAAAGGACCCCGATATGAGAAATAAAGAACAATTCAAAAGAAAACCAACATCGGGTCGATAAATATTACAAGAAAAACGAAGACGGAAAAAACGACCAGCGACAACCACTCATGAATAACAGGCTCCTGCCTTGGGACAGTCACAAAAATAATGATACGGGGTTTATCATTTTTTTAGCGCTCAGTTGACCTATTCTGGGACAGTAGTGTACCAACGCAACATTAAACAAATTATATAAAATCAGTTGGAAAGGACTTGACTTAATCTGGAATCCGCTTGTATTTACGCTACTCTAAAAACTCTATGAATAAAGTGAAGTAGTCAGCCGACTTGACCCAGCACACACATCGGCACTTAGCACATAAAAAATAACAGACAAAGGACACAAAGTCCAAATTTAAAAGTTCTCACAGTTGATATAATCAAATTAAAAACCCCAATTTCATGTTGTCCCGGACTATTATATATGCTTGATTTTTAGTCGCAGTTGTAAATGCTGATTTTTGATGTTTTTATTGTATGTTTTTCCAGAGACATATATACACTGTATCTGGTTTTTCTTTGTTATTGTTGGTTGTTGTTTTTTTTAGGGGGGGGGGTGGAGGTTATTAAAATAAAAGCTTTAAATTCTCCTACAAAAGCAACCCCCTTATATTTTTACACCGCTAGCAGAAATAAAGTATACGGGCATCAAATAGAGAACAAATTAATATTTGAAAGTACACATGCACTGTTATATATATAATAAGTTTGGTTTAACAGTCTTCAGGTATACTTTATTGCTACTCAGTATCTTCCTTGATAGTATTTTTAGACTACTGTATCGTATAGGTTGATAACGTTCAGTTTTTGTCTCCTGGCAATAGCATTGTCGTCTGGTATTCCGGAACGTGAGTGGCACGCGCGACTAACTGTAAATGTCACCACGTATCGATTGCGCGTGTCAACGGAGTAGTAACTGATAAGAAGTTTTATTTACACTTGTTTAAAGCGTTAAATTAAAGACACTTTACGGATTTAATATGATTGTTTTATCTTCAAGCAGTATAAAATATCACATTATATGATCATAGGTGTTAATAACGACATTATATACACTAATAACTAAGATTATACATATGTTTTAGCAAATCGAATTATATCTGTTTAGGACTTGCAAATCTTCTAAAACAACATACAGTACAATTTGTTAGTCTTAGCCAAGGACTCATACAACCTCTTTGGTCTTAGCTGATTAATTGACATAATGAAAATTCACGAATTTGTTATTTTTTTTTAAATTTAATTCATTTTATCCAGATTATTGTTTCACTTTTGCGAGACTGAAAAAAAACCAGTTAAGTGCAAAGTAGTCATTTCAGGTCTGTGTTTATTTGGATAATACACCCGTAATGCATATGAATGAACGGCTTAAAAAAATCTTTGAAAATATGACAAAAGTACCAGTATTATAATATTTATATGCTTTACTAATTCAAAAGCACCGTTAATACTTAACTTCGGCTTCAGTTGATAGAAACAATATAAGCAGTCTAAGAGGCACGAACCATTAACTCAATGACAAGTCACATGCACAGTTTCGAAACTAGTTGAGTGAATTGTCGTCATTTTAATTTCAAAACGGAATAATCACGCGTATTGCCAGCTATCTGTATATCAAATGCAATAGTAACACATATCAAAATCTGCTGTACTGCACGATTGCAAAATCCGTGGTATTGCAACGGCAATCGGAAACTCAGACAAAAATTTGCTGCACACACGACGAAAGCAAAAACAATTGTTTTCAATAGCAATCGGAAACACAGTTCCTACTACATCTGCTTTACCGACAGCCGGTAATAGGGTGTGGTAGTGATTATAACGTATTGTTGTTTTTAATATTTAATATGTCCTGACTGTAACTCTAGTGTTGTTTTTTAGCTGTGAGCTTATGCCATCACTTGGCGTCCGTCGTCGTCGTCTGTCGTCGTCGTCTGTTGTCGTCTGTCGTCGTCTGTCGTCGTAAACTATTTCAAAAATCTTCTCCTCTGAAACTACTGGGCCAATTACCTTCAAACTTTAACTAAATGTTCCTTAGGGTATCTAGTTTATAAATTGTATCCAAATTTTGATCCATCGACAAACATGGCCGCCATAGCTAAAAATAGAACATAGGGGTCAAATGCAGTTTTTGGCTTATATCTCAAAAACTAAAGTTTTTAGGACAAATCTGACTTGGGGTAAAATTGTTCAATTGGTCAAGATCTATCAGCTCTGAAATTTTCAGACGAATCAAACAACCCATTGTTGGGTTGCTGCCACCGAATTGGTAGTTTTAACAAAATTTTGCAGTTTTTTGTTATTATTTTGAATATTATTATAGATATGTATAAACTGTAAGCAGCAATAATGTTCAGCAAAGTAAGATCTACAAAAAAGTTAATATGACCATAATTGTCAATTGACCCCTTAAGGAGTTATTGCCCTTGAAAGACAATTTTACACAATTTGTTCATCAAGTTTGCTAACATTTAAAAATCTTCTCGTCTGAAACTACTAGGCCAATTACCTTCAAACTTTAACTAAATGTTCCTTAGGGTATCTCGTTTATAAATTGTATCCGAAATTTGTATCCATCGACAAACATGGCCACCATAGCTAAAAATAGAACATATGGGTCAAATGCAGTTTTTGGCTTATATCTCAAAAACTATATCTTTTAGAGCAAATGTGACACGGGGGTAAAATTGTTTAATTGGTCAAGATCTATCGGCCTTGAAATTTTCAGACGAATCGAACAACCCATTGTTGGGTTGCTGCCACCGAATTGGTAGTTTTAACAAAACTTTGCAGTTTTTTGTTATTATTTTGAATATTATTATAGATATATATATAAACTGTAAGCAGCAATAATGTTCAGCAAAGTAAGATCTACAAAAAAAGTTAATATGACCAAAATTGTCAATTGACCCCTTAAGGAGTTACTGCCCTTTAAAGACAATTTTACACAATTTGTTCATCAAGTTTGCAAACATTTAAAAATCTTCTCCTCTGAAATACAGGTGAGCGATTCAGGCTCTTGAGAGCCTCTTGTTTCCCAATTATTATTGATGGCATGATAGACATTTTTATTACGATTACGGTATTTAACAACACAATTATTAATTTTGGAGTTCAATTTTATAAACTATTAAATAAAACTGTCGTAAAATACACGTTACAGGCACAACCGCGGATATACACCCGAAGGGTTGAAGTTCTACGGTCTTTTTCTTCTTTAGACATGGAACGATTTAAATCTTCGTAGATATTGCCGAAGACTGTATATTTCCTTCTATAGATGTATCTTGCTTTTGCTTTAGGTTATTTGTGCCGTCTCATTGACGTTTTATTTACACTGCTGATAGTATAAGCTCTTTTTGGTATATATGTAAAAGTTTCTTGAAAAATATATATAGTCGACGACGACGAGGGGGGGTTAACGACCTTGACTTCCCACGAGGGTCTTGCACGGTCGGTAATATATATAGTGACTGAGAGAAGTCATACCATCACTTGTAAACTATGTTCGCATGAGTGTGTTCGGATATATAAAATAATGAACGGGAAAACAAAATGCCATATCATAGGGATCACGATATAAAAGAAATTTATAATTGCAGTTCTATATCTATGTGACAACATGGAGATACATATATAATGTAATTCCATGGTGACACATATTGATCTTCATAGGATATAGTTTTATGTGATTATTTTTGCTAAGTAACACTTCCTTATCAATAACTAAACACTGTTGATATAAATATTTGTGATAAAGGGAAGTTATTACTAATTACTTGAATGAGTTATATATTCAGTCTAATATTCAAAATGTGCCAATATACTGTGTATTTAATGGCATAAAACAAGTTCAATAGGTTATTGTATAGAAAACGATCTGTGAAATTTTACAGATTTTTAATCTGCAACAACAGTTAATTTTCATTTATATTAAGACAGAGATAAATAATGCTTTTGTACTAAATGTCTCTGTAATAGACAATGATACCATTGCATGGATTTGATTTGAATTAAAAATGACAACTGATTCCGTAGTTTTTATTGGTCCCATCTCCATTGATTCTGTAGAGAAAACTTTGAATTTGAAGAATATTTAGACTTAGACTTATTACCTTATAAAGATAAAATAACTTTATGTAGATTTAGAACTGGAAATCACTGGTTACCTATAGAAACAGGTAGATAGTTTGGCATTGTTAAGACCGGAAAGGTACTGTGTACTTTGTAATTTTGAGAGATGTGTGATGAATTTCACTGTATTCTAAATTGTACAGCTCTAACAGAAAGTAGAAGAGCTTTTTGTTTACTTTACTACGTAAGCCGAGTAAATGTTCTGAAATTCGGCAGTTTTTTTTTTTTTAAATATTAGGGTTTTGAAAAATTTATGTAAATTATCAATACAGAAGTTCCAGATTGATCATGATTCTCGTTCTCAATACAGAAGCTCCATGTTGATCATCATTCTCGTTATACAGAAGCTCCAGGTTGATCATCATTCTCGTTCTCTCATCGTTTTATTCTCGTTTTGTACAAACTTGTCATGCGCAAAATCTGTATGTTATTATCTTTCTTTGTTCCATTAACTTGGTTTTATCAGAAATAAAAAATCTTGCATGAAAAAAGCAAACACCAATCAATCAATTTATTTGAATAAATTAAACTGAATCCTTTTATTTTCCAAAAAGGTATCATGTATCTGCTTCATGAGTATTTATCAAAGCTATATTACTTTTCAACAATTGACTTAGATTATAGCGTTATCATTTACAAAATATACAGAAAACCAAAAACAACAACACTAATTTGATCATTTTAATACAATTTATGCAAGAAAAATTGGAATGCGTTTCTGATTCCTTACAAACTGATCGCTGAAGAGAAAATAAAAAGTTTTTATAGCCTAGAATCGCCACAAACAAGATTTCTGTATTACTTGAGTGGTAGCTTCAAAGCCACCACTTTTCTCACCATTTATATATTTGGTGTTAGGTGCACGGATAGCCAAAACACAATGCCCCATAAATTCCAGTATAAATGGTTGCGGGTTAATGCCAGTTGGAGAGATTGTAGTGTTTTTAAGATTCCAGTATTTGCCATTGTCGCCTTTGATGTAATAAACTCCGTTGTCACCATGTTCGAGCTGCAATACTTCGTACATTGTTTTGTTACACGAGTATACCGGTTCCTTCGAAGACGGCGACTTCTTTCCTACATATCCATAATCACCTTGTAAAACCAACATATGTCGATTGATGAGTTTGATTCTAAATATATTCTTTGCACCGATGCCACTACTATTAGCAATCATTTGACAATTCGGTTGTATGCCTACGTATTTGCCATTGGCGGCTATTACTGCAACAGCTCCACAAATCCATTCGAAATGGAATAAACAATCTGGGTTGCGGCTTGCAGAAGTTGCTTCGATTTTATTGCTCTTGCTAACAGACCAGTATTTATAATCCGATGTGATGATGTACCATTTTTTGGTAGCATAGTCGAATTCAATCTGCAAACAAATGATTTTTTAAATCAACACTGTTACATTAGATCAAGTTTTTTTTAAATCGTTGAAGATTCCCACTTTTCTTCGGTCAATTTATCAACAAAGACAAAACATATTACTGCGATCTAAGAATATCATATACTTTTTTCTTATTTTTTGGGGGTCAAATTTACACTTCATGTTCGTACCATCGCAAAACAAATATACGGAGCCTAAAAATAGATATATTGGTACTACTCATATTAAATTATCCGGGGCACGGTATAAAAAACAAGAGACTGCCAAAATGATATTGCTGTCAGTGTTATAGCAATTAAGGGTCATAACTCCTGAACGACAATTACATTATTGACAGAAACAATATTTATAAATTTGGAAATCATTGGTTGAACAGTTCTTAACTAATTGCAAGTAAACGACGTAAAATGCCATGTACCAATCAATCAACTAAGGACCGTAACTTGTGAATGAAAAACTGAAAATCGTCAGTATCGAAATTGACCTCGATTTTGTCATCAGTAACAACTTTTATACATATTAATCACAAGTTATTGCACGGAACCGATATAAAGAACCCATTTTTAATCAATCAGGGATCATAACTCCTGATCGACAAAAGTGAAATCGTCAATAACGAACTTTACCCCCATTTCGCATTCAGTAACATATCAAAATTTGACAAGCACAACATATTGCAAGGAAACAGAGCCAAACGCCCACCCACCTGCCCAGCCGCTGCACAGATTTACGTAGAAAAAAACCGATTAATAAATGCTTAACTTGGAGGAAATGTTAATAAAAAAAGAAATATAACATGGACGATAAATGTATTATTGAAACATATATGGCCGTCTTATAACTTTTAAAGGGGTCAAGAGTTTTTGCTACATTTTGTTGAATGAAAGCCCCACTTAAATGTTAGATTAGAACTACAATAAAAACGTTGTTCATTTACTTTTTTCGTATAATAATAAGTAGATGTGGTTTGAGTGCCAATGAGACAACTATCCACCGAAGTTTAAATGGAGTGGATGTAAGCAATTATATGCAACTGCACGGCCTTCAACTTTGAGAAAAACCTATATCGTATAGTCGACTATAAAAGAATCTGACATGAAAAATGTGAAAAAAATCAATGGGGAAACTAACGGCTTAATTTATAGTGATTTTTTGTAATGAATGATAATTCATACCATACCCAATCCTTGGCATTATATACGTTTTTGTATATATACCTTCATGTTTGTAATTCAGAGGTTGTCGTTTGTGTATATATACCTTCATGTTTGTTACTCAGAGGTTGTCGTTTGTGTATATATACCTTCATGTTTGTAATTCAGAGGTTGTCGTGTGTGTATAATATATATACCTTCATGTTTGTAATTCAGAGGTTGCCGTTTGTGTATAAATACCTTCATGTTTGTAATTCAGAGGTTGTCGTTTGTGTCTATATACCTTCATGTTTGTAATTCAGAGGTTGTCGTTTGTGTCTATATACCTTCATGTTTGTAATTCAGAGGTTGTCGTTTGTGTATATATACCTTCATGTTTGTAATTCAGAGGTTGTCGTTTGTGTATATATACCTTCATGTTTGTAATTCAGAGGTTGTCGTTTGTGTCTATATACCTTCATGTTTGTAATTCAGAGGTTGTCGTTTGTGTATATATACCTTCATGTTTGTAATTCAGAGGTTGTCGTTTGTGTCTATATACCTTCATGTTTGTAATTCAGAGGTTGTCGTTTTTGTATATATACCTTCATGTTTGTAATTCAGAGGTTGTCGTTTGTGTATTTATACCTTCATGTTTGTAATTCAGAGGTTGTCGTTTTTGTAAATACCTTCATGTTTGTAATTCAGAGGTTGTCGTTTGTGTATATATACCTTCATGTTTGTAATTCAGAGGTTGTCGTTTGTGTATATATACCTTAATGTTTGCTACTCAGAGGTTGTCGTTTGTGTATATATACCTTCATGTTTGTAAGTCAGAGGTTGCCGTTTGTGTATATTTACCTTCATGTTTGTAATTCAGAGGTTGTCGTTTTTGTAAATACCTTCATGTTTGTAATTCAGAGGTTGTCGTTTGTGTATATATACCTTCGTGTTTGTAATTCAGAGGTTGCCGTTTGTGTATATATACCTTCATGTTTGTAATTCAGAGGTTGTCGTTTGTGTATATATACCTTCATGTTTGTAATTCAGAGGTTGCCGTTTTTGTAAATACCTTCATGTTTGTAATTCAGAGGTTGTCGTTTGTGTATATATACCTTCATGTTTGTAAGTCAGAGGTTGTCAATTGTGTATATATACCTTCATGTTTGTAATTCAGAGGTTGCCGTTTGTGTATATATACCTTCATGTTTGTAATTCAGAGGTTGTCGTTTGTGTATATATACCTTCATGTTTGTAATTCAGAGATTGTCGTTTTTGTAAATACCTTCATGTTTGTAATTCAGAGGTTGTCGTTTGTGTATATATACCTTCATGTTTGTAATTCAGAGGTTGTCGTTTGTGTATATATACCTTCATGTTTGTAATTCAGAGGTTGCCGTTTGTGTATATATACCTTCATGTTTGTAATTCAGAGGTTGCCGTTTTTGTAAATACCTTCATGTTTGTAATTCAGAGGTTGTCGTTTGTGTATATATACCTTCATGTTTGTAAGTCAGAGGTTGTCGTTTGTGTATATATACCTTCATGTTTGTAATTCAGAGGTTGCCGTTTTTGTAAATACCTTCATGTTTGTAATTCAGAGGTTGTCGTTTGTGTATATATACCTTCATGTTTGTAAGTCAGAGGTTGTCGTTTGTGTATATATACCTTCATGTTTGTAATTCAGAGGTTGCCGTTTGTGTATATATACCTTCATGTTTGTAATTCAGAGGTTGTCGTTTTTGTAAATACCTTCATGTTTGTAATTCAGAGGTTGTCGTTTGTGTATATATACCTTCATGTTTGTAATTCAGAGGTTGTCGTTTGTGTCTATATACCTTCATGTTTGTAATTCAGAGGTTGCCGTTTGTGTATATATACCTTCATGTTTGTAATTCAGTGGTTGTCGTTTGTGTCTATATACCTTCATGTTTGTAATTCAGAGGTTGTCGTTTGTGTATATATACCTTCATGTTTGTAATTCAGTGGTTGTCGTTTGTGTCTACACTGTAAAAATTGTGCTTAGAATTTAAACGTGTTGCAAGACTCATGTGCTTAGGAAAGTGTTTAATTTCTAAACATAAAAAAATAAACATGTGTTGGCTCTCAGCACTTCGCAATAAACATGTTTTGGCTCTCAGCACTTTTCAATAAACATGTTGCTGTGCTAAACATGTTTAGCTACTTTGTCAAGTATATTAAGCTAAACGTGTTTAAATTCTAAGCACTTTCAATATTTAGACACTTTCCTAAACACGTTTAGAATTACAACACATTGAGGCCGAATACGGCATTCATATCACGTGCTAATTTTTGAGCGGGAAGAAGAAACAAAGAACCCGAAGTCAAAGGCCACGCTGTTTACTTCTGACCATAACTGACTGTTTCAGAAAGGTAAGGAGTCATGATTATACTGTCTTTTATTTTGTACTGCCAATTTTAAATGATTATTGACAGTTATAAGCATTATTTACAAGTACACTACCGTATAGTCAATGCAGGAGAGAAAAGGGGGTACCATCCCACGAAACAGGTGCTTATAAGAGCTTTAAGTGTTCAAACTATCTTGTGTATAGATGATAAGAGTTGTTTAATGTTCTATCATGCAAGTTTGCATTCATTTTTTTATTTATATATGTTCTTGGAAAGGAGTTTGTGAGGATAATTTTCGTTCGGTACTCCTCGGCAGATTATAATGAAACATGAAGGGTAGCGGAATCTGCCGAGTCTTATCAGGATGAGGTGCATCATTCGCAAATCCAGTGTCATATCGAGTTCATTGTTTTCGTCAGCACTTCCGATATTCACAATCAACATTTCCTCAAAATAAATAGAAAGATGCTTGTTTATTTCAATAATTATACGCGGTTGTGATTTTTTTATAATTTTATTGATATGTATTGTTTTATTCTAGAAGAGAGAAGTGCAGAGGAAATCATCTGTCTTGGCATGCTAAAAGAGGAGATAAAGAACAGTAGCAAATATGCTGCTAGGTAAGAATCAAAAGTGTATTTGATTTTAAAAATGCCAATATATATTTGATCAAATGAATAAAATTAAGCATGAAAAGAAGTTTTATATTAAAAACTATCAATTGATTCATCAGTAAATTTATGTTTTTATACCACGGTCCTAATGTTGTTATCTGGATCTTAAATCATGCTTTTACTTTTTGGTGTTGTAGTTCGTATTCTTATATTTTTAGATTAATTCTACTTAGTTGCTTATCAATATTTTTCTATATTTCAGGCCATTGACCAGCAGTTGGGTACTAAGAAAGGAGAAGCTCTTATTGACCTGTAAAATGAAAACAGGACATTTTCAAATTGTTTTGTTGTAGGGATGGGGTACAAGTAGAAGATTGGTCGATATTATGTACATGTACCTTGATATGAATTTATTTTTGATTGTGTTCAATGATAAACTGGAAATAAATGATAACATAAATTCCTTTGTTTTATAAGTTGTAATTTTGTTTTTAAAGCTAGAATTAGTATAATGATAATTTCATTTCAAAAGTTCTAGACTGTTTTACGAATATTTGAAATGAAGAAAAAATGCAATAGTTGAATGACGTGAATTGAATTAAAGAAAAAACTCATTGAGATTGAAAAGGTATTGGTCACATTCAATTTGATATGGAAATTCCAGTTTCTTAGTTTGATGCATTGGCTCCTTTTTGTGATGGTATGAAAACCTGTTTTATTGAGAGCTATCATACGTTTTACAGTCAAGCCTTCCGGAATATTAGTTTAATTGGGGCCTAATGAAGTAACGGCTTCTCACAATAAAATGATAAACATGTTTCTTCACGACCCTTTATGGTCTAAACATGTTTACATTCAAAACACTTCACAGCTAAACGTGTTTCCAGACAAAACACTTCTCATCTAAACATGTTTCCAGATACAACAATTCACAGCTAAACATGTTTACAGTCTAAGCACTTTTTAGCTAAACGTGTTTCTAGTCTAAACGCTTTACAGCTAAACATGTTTACAGTCTAAGCACTTTATAGCTTGACACGTTTAGGCTGTTAGCACATTAAATATTAAACATGTTTAGATTTAAAACATGTCAAAAATCGGTTTCATAAATGTGTTTAGGAAAGTGTTTAGGCTCTAAACACATTTTTTAGAGTGTATATACCTTCATGTTTGTAATTCAGTGGTTGTCGTTTGTGTCTATATACCTTCATGTTTGTAATTCAGAGGTTGTCGTTTGTGTATATATACCTTCATGTTTGTAATTCAGAGGTTGTCGTTTTTGTAAATACCTAAAGTAACCTTCAGGTTTGTAATTCAGAGGTTGTCTTTTGTGTCTATATACCTTCATGTTTGTAATTCAGAGGTTGTCGTTTTTGTAAATACCTATAGTAACCTTCAGGTTTGTAATTCAGAGGTTGTCGTTTGTGTCTATATACCTTCATGTTTGTAATTCAGAGGTTGTCGTTTGTGTCTATATACCTTCATGTTTGTAATTCAGAGGTTGTCGTTTGTGTCTATATACCTTCATGTTAGTAATTCACAGGTTGTCGTTTGTGTCTATATACCTTCATGTTTGTAATTCAGAGGTTGTCGTTTGTGTCTATATACCTTCATGTTTGTTATAAAGACGTTGTCGTGTGTGTATATATACCTTTATGTTTGTTATTCAGAGGTTGTCGTTTGTGTATATATACTTTATGTTTGTAATTTAGAGGTTGTAGTTTTTGTATATACCTTTATGTTTGTTACTCAGAGGTTGTCGTTTGTGTATATATACCTTCATGTTTGCTACTCAGAGGTTGTCGTGTGTGTATATATATCTTCATGGTTGTTACTCAGAGGTTGTCGTTTGTGTATATATACCTTCATGTTTGCTACTCAGAGGTTGTCGTGTGTGTATATATATCTTCATGGTTGTTACTCAGAGGTTGTCGTTTGTGTATATATACCTTCATGTTTGCTACTCAGAGGTTGTCGTGTGTGTATATATACCTTTATGTTTGTAATTTAGAGGTTGTAGTTTTTGTATATACCTTTATGTTTGTAATTCAGAGGTTGCCGTTTCTGCAAATACCTTCATGTTTGTAAGTCAGAGGTTGTCGTTTGTGTCTATATACCTTCATGTTTGTAATTCAGAGGTTGTCGTTTGTGTATATATACCTTCATGTTTGTAATTCAGAGGTTGTCGTTTTTGTAAATACCTTCATATTTGTAATTCAGAAGTTGTCGTTTGTGTCTATATACCTTCATGTTTGTAATTCAGAGGTTGCCGTTTTTGTAAATACCTTCATTTTTGTAAGTCAGAGGTTGTCGTTGTGTATATATACCTTCATGTTTGTAATTCAGAGGTTGTCGTTTGTGTCTATATACCTTCATGTTTGTAATTCAGAGGTTGTCGTTTGTGTATATATACCTTCATGTTTGTAATTCAGAGGTTGTCGTTTGTGTATATATACCTTCATGTTTGTAATTCAGAGGTTGTCGTTTTTGTAAATACCTTCATATTTGTAATTCAGAGGTTGCCGTTTGTGTATATACCTTCATGTTTGTAAGTCAGAGGTTGTCGTTTGTGTATATACCTTCATGTTTGTAAGTCAGAGGTTGTCGTTTGTGTATATATACCTTCATGTTTGTAATTCAGAGGTTGTCGTTTGTGTATATATACCTTCATGTTTGTAATTCAGAGGTTGTCGTTTGTGTCTATATACCTTCATGTTTGTAATTCAGAGGTTGCCGTTTGTGTATATATACCTTTATGTTTGTAATTTAGAGGTTGTAGTTTTTGTATATACCTTTATGTTTGTAATTCAGAGGTTGCCGTTTTTGCAAATACCTTCATGTTTGTAAGTCAGAGGTTGTCGTTTGTGTCTATATACCTTCATGTTTGTAATTCAGAGGTTGTCGTTTGTGTCTATATACCTTCATGTTTGTAATTCAGAGGTTGCCGTTTGTGTATATATACCTTCATGTTTGTAATTCAGAGGTTGTCGTTTGTGTATATATACCTTCATGTTTGTAATTCAGAGGTTGTCGTTTGTGTCTATATACCTTCATGTTTGTAATTCAGAGGTTGTCGTTTGTGTCTATATACCTTCATGTTTGTAATTCAGAGGTTGCCGTTTGTGTATATATACCTTCATGTTTGTAAGTCAGAGGTTGTCGTTTGTGTATATACCTTCATGTTTGTAAGTCAGAGGTTGTCGTTTGTGTATATATACCTTCATGTTTGTAATTCAGAGGTTGTCGTTTGTGTATATATACCTTCATGTTTGTAATTCAGAGGTTGTCGTTTGTGTCTATATACCTTCATGTTTGTAAGTCAGAGGTTGTCGTTTGTGTATATACCTTCATGTTTGTAAGTCAGAGGTTGTCGTTTGTGTATATATACCTTCATGTTTGTAATTCAGAGGTTGTCGTTTGTGTATATATACCTTCATGTTTGTAATTCAGAGGTTGTCGTTTGTGTCTATATACCTTCATGTTTGTAATTCAGAGGTTGCCGTTTGTGTATATATACCTTCATGTTTGTAATTCAGTGGTTGTCGTTTGTTGCTGTATATCATATTTGTTTTCCGTTTATTGTTTTTACATAAAATTTAGTTTTCTTAAATTGTTTTACATTTGTCATTTCGGTGCCTTTACAGCTTTCTATGCGGTATGGGTATTGCTATTGTTGATGGACATACGGTGACATAAAATTGTTACCTTCTATGTCTCTTTGTCTCTGTTGGAGAGTTATTTAATTGGCAATCAAACTACATCTTCTTGTTTTTATATACTTCATGCGTTTGATCCTTACGGTGACAATTAAATGGGGAATGGCGTGCCATTTTGTTCGGGGATAGGGTCTTTTTAAATTTCTGTTTAGGGTGTAAACATTACTGATACTGTACTTACCTGAAAAGTTTCCTTTTCACTTTCCTGTTCTGTAATGGCAGACAGTCCGAAACCGCTTTGAATCGATACGTTGTTTTCATTTGGTGCCACAAATACAACTTGGGGATGACTGTCATCCAGTTGGAAAATTTCCTCGTCTGTTATTGTTTTCTTGCCGGTTTTGAGAGTTGCCGACATGCTACCAACACCAGCTAAGTATTTTCCTTCGTCATCCCGAAATGCAATTCCTTCAATCTTTGGTTCTGAGTTTACTCTCAGTTCCCATGTAAAGTGTGTTCCCGGTTCCTTTGATCCTGTTAAATTACCATCTTTATGTAGATATCTATTATCACTCGTTTTTATTAAATATTTTCCCATATGATATTCTAAAGTAAATATTGAATTTTGTCCCCATGGAATTCTATCTCGACATATAATTTTATTTCCTACTAGACCAAAATAACGCTTCCGTCTTTTGTTGCTTAAAACGATTTGTGGGTGTCTAGCCATTGGAACATACCACAGTTCCTTTTCAGAAACTTTTCTGGACGAGCATACTACTTTTTGATCAATTCCACTTAAGTATCTTCCATACTTTTCACTTTTAAAAGCCCATCTACCAGATCCATCAGGGGAGAATTCTACATTAAATTTCCCATCATCAATACGTTTCTCAGATTCACATTTCACGGCTCCACACTTATCAGTTGTCAGATAACGTTCAAATCGATTCTTCATGTAGACTGTTTCGTCATGGTTTAATTCCAGAGTCCAAATCTGTTTTCTGTTCAGCCCAGTGCTTAAGATGGTTAGTTCATATCCAAAATCTTCCGATGTTAGAAAGTAAAAAGCAGAATTTTGCAAACCTGCTGGCCATGAAAAACTGTTTGTTGACATCTATATGTCCTTGTCAAACTCTTTCTGCGTCTATGGCGACGACGTCGTCACTATCAGTATAGCCGATGAAACTTTTAAGTATTATTACGTTGACGGCAGTGGTGTTCAATTCTGTTCCTCAAATTGTGATAGGAACTGTTCTTTCTCTGTCTAGATTAAGGTACAGATTCATCAACACTTCTTATTCTAATATATGCTGTCTTTTTTTAATTTGATGACAGTAACCAGTAAACGTAAATCGTTGGGCATCGTAAGCCATCACATATTTAGAAGATGAAAAACATATACTTTTAAAATGTCCATCATATAAAGATTTTCATTGACATACTTTTTAAACGATAATTTTGTTTCAATTGTCTGACGATAAAAAAATAATATCTCTATTTGTATGTGATATATTGTTGTCAACACCTGCCATGATATTTGGCTTTTGGTTAAGCAAACAAACAAACAAACAAATAATTTATTAGAAATCACCTCTTTAAAACATTTGATATAAAACACAATATAATAATAACATATCAATGTATAAAAGAGACACTCTAAAAAGAGTTATGAGAGACTGTAAAACACACATTAAAAATACATTTATATTACATGTATAACATATATCAATATATCTTCGCATAAAACACCTTAAAGGGAAACTTCGCAAAAAAATAAAAAAATGATACCAAAAAGAAATTCTTTTGTAATCATAATCAGAAGATAAAAATCAAAACACTATATACAGTCACATGTATTACGAGTATAAAAATACACTTTCTCTTAAAAAGTACTTCATGGCAGATTTTAGCTGTGAAATAGAAAACTTTGTCGTTATGAAACATAAATAAAAACTTTTCCTCATTACACAAATCGTTAAAACTACTTTCTACATTACATTCATTGTAAAAAAAAAAATCGTTCGCAAATTTGCATATTCTGGGCATTCTAACAACACATGTTTTTCATCTTCAATTACATCTAAATCATTTTTTCTACAATTAAAACAAAACCTTTCATTTACATCTATACCTTCGTATCTATTAGTTTCAATTCTAATTGGAGCAACACCTGCTCTAAATCTAGCATATGCACTTCTGTATTTCCCCGGCATAGTAATACTTAAATATTTTTCTGTACAATTATTTGTATAAATATTTTTCTGTACATTTATTTGTTTTAAATAACCTGTAAGTACACAATTTACTGCTTTTAATAAGCTAGTAAATTTGAATGCCATTTATTCTGGTACATAATAAAAAGGTTGTTTTCAATATCTTAAATAACAGACAAAATACATTCAAAATTACAATACTGATTAAGATCAAGTTCTTTAAACTTTGTATTCACTCTACAGTTCCAATTTTTTACTTTATTAAAACTGAGATTATTACTCCAAAGAAAATTTTCTTGTTAAGTCTACAATCAGACATCTTATTTAACCGTGACCAAGTTCTACAAATGGTAGACCATTGTTTCACAATACATGGTTTCAATCCTATATCTCCATAAAGTGCTAACACATTAAAGTTATGATATATCTACTCACACCCATAAAAAATCTCATAGCTTTAAGTTTAACAGAATTTAAAAAAAAAAAATAATTTTAATACAAAAAAATTCCTTAGTACCCCAAAAAGAGGCACCATAATCAATCACTGACCATACAATTGCATTGAACAGTTTTGTATATACAATATATTGAAAACCACCATGAGCTTTACATTTTGCTATTAATAACCCCAATGCCCTACTGGCAGATTAAGCAACTGATTTTGCCATATCTTCATAACTCAAATGTTCGGTTAACAATAAACCTAACTATTTATAATTTGAAACTTTATTTAGCAGGTGTGATATTTTATATATAGTGATATAGTAGGTCATTGGAGCACTGAATAATTTGTTAAATTTATGCTATATAAATTATATCACAGTAAAAAGCCGTGTGTCTTGTATGTAGTTATTGCACTTATTTGAGAGTTTTTAACAGTATATCTGGTTTATTTAAACGAGGATTGTAAATGTTGTCGTTAGGGGAGAAAATTCCACTAGGTTTCAACATCATTCAGATGGTTACCCTTTAGAAGTGAAATAAATACAGGGGAATATTGTCTCATCTCTTTTCACATCTTTTCATAGTTTTGATATTGCAATGTTTCAGCAAAATAATTCATTCTGAGCAATGCGTTGGTTTCACGTCAAGATTCCGAGTCGAAACAATGCTATATAACATTTCAGACGATAATAGGATTTTAGTATATCTGGGATATGTTCTTATATACATTTAACTGTGCATGACTTGCAATGCTTGCTTCATCTATAATCAAAATTCAAACAAGATATCTTTTTTTTGTGTTGATATGTTGAAATTCAGTTGAGTATTTCTCCCCCAACTTTCGAAAATATTAATAATTTACATGTTGTAATCTCGACATTCTGTGATTACAGATGTAACCCTAGATTCAATTTATTGTTTGTAGAATGGCAAAATGCAGTAAGTATCAGCTCAAGTAAAATAATATCTTGTGCTGTTTTGATATAAGAGGACGATAATTTTATTTTCTTGGGAGGCAGGAGGATCTTAGAAATGAAAATCCTGTAAGAACTCAAAATAAATTATATTGCCCAAGACAGAATGAAAATGAATATTGTGCCCCACAAAATGCGTACAAAATGCAGGAAATATTAATTTTGTATTGTTGTACAAAATCAACAATAAATAAACTGCGCCGCACGAAAAAAAAAAAACCAAACCGGCCTAGAAGTATACAAACAGGTGAATATACAAAAAAATCGTATGAAAAATCCTTCTGCCTCCGAAAATCAAATATATGTCACTCATGAACGAGACAGTCACAGCTGGATGTTTATCTTGATATTTCAATAAGTAATAATTGTGTAAGAATAAATGATTCACACCTACTTACTAATTGTTGATTTATTATCCGTCTGATGATTGTCTGTCTAGTAGTAATATGATAGCAAGGTACATTTATAAAGTAGTAATCATTTCTTCATCATATGTTTATTTTATTTTTATGTTTATTTTTGTTTATTTAAGCTGCCTTTATATATCAGTTTTAATAGAATGTCCGATACACAATTTGTAATTTGTATTGTTTTTGCATACCTGGGATCCGATACACAATTTGTAATTTGTAATGTTTTTGCATACCTGGGACAAAATATCCCAGTGCAGACAGAAAAGGGTTTTGGGGAACCCGACATGGCATGATGCAAAGTATTGACCTCAGATTGAATAAAAATACAAAATTGCTATGGTTTTGTGGTTCTTGTTCTCCGAGTATGGTTAAATACGGAAGTTGATAAAGCAGATATTTTGCAATTCGTAGATGACCGACTATCTTCAAAGTATTTTTTTCTATGACGATCAGAAGGATGCATGCAAAATATCAAAGTTAATAAAAGAAACACGAATGGTTTAAATCGGGCTTGTTTACTTCAGGACACACTCCAAAGCCAATCAATGATGATTAAACTTCGTTAGTTATGTAGATTAGGTCTGTGTGAATAACGGAAGTGATTCTATAACCAATGTGACTCCTCAAAGCACGTGCAATGCCGTCGGGCCTCTGAAAAGGAAGATATTTTTCAAAACGCTAATTTGTTTTATCAAATTTCTTATGCAAGTAATTGCATTAAGTTATTGTTTCTTAATCTGTGACCATATCATTTTTCATTAGAACGGGGTATGCAATTCATAGGTTCATACTTTTGACAAATAAATTAAACCATCATTTTGGACAACTGACAAATTATCTTTTCACGTCAATGGATACAGAATTTAAATTCATATCAACGACTTAAATTCAAGGCTGCATGTTTTATAATTAAACATATCATATAGAGTTCAGTGCAGACGACATTGCCCAATTTGGTGGTTTTCTGGGACATCATTCATCGCTCTGTGTTAAACCAGAGACATATAAGACCTTTTCAACAACTCTCGACAACGACTAATGACACCTACAGTTTACAGGTAAAATTGAGGGGTCGTCTCAAAGACAAACACCATCATGATTATCATTACGTATGCATATTCGATTTGGCGGTTATACACTGTCTTCACCTTATAGCTACAGAAGATATATCAAACAAAAATTTAAATAAATATATTTCTCTGTCATATAATATTCTTATTACATGTATTTACACGACATTTCACGTTGAATTGATTAAAATAATACTGCAATCATTCTGCATCCTGATCAGCTTTCTCTTCAATTTTTGATCATGCGAGTCTTCCATCAAAGATTGTTCAGCATGCCAATAACGATTAATTTGTTTCTGTAAGTTGTTTTATGAATTTTCTAAATTTCTGAAACATAATTACTGGACTGTCCGTCCGTCCGTTAAACACTTGTAAACACGGTCGAGTTGGTGTTTTTCAACCGATATTCACCTTACCTGATATACACATTCAATTTCGGGAGGGGTAAAAATATATGGATTTCAAAGGTCGAACAACATACCTTGTTTCTTTGTCGTAGAGTCCTTCCCCCGTTCCCGAAAATGACCTTTGGGTTTCTTACAAGAAGCGGGAATTGCTTAGCACTGGAGTTTAATAGGGTCCGTGTTGATCAAACATCGTTTGTTTTATAAGTTACACTGTCATTGCTATATTTTGATTTGTTGTCACCGGGTCAGGATTTGTTTCTCTATTTCCTATTTCGTGGACATAGCTTTAGTTTTAGAATCTTTTCTAATTTTCGTACTTATGATTCTTTTTTATACGCCAGTTTACGGGACGTATTATGGTATACCGTTGTCCGTCCGTCTGTCCGTCGTCAACATATCGGACAATGACTCAAAAACGCTTGAACCAATTCACATCAAACTTTGGTGAATTGTTTATATCTATTGACGTGAGCTCCCTTTCTTTTTTTTATTTTAGGTTTCCGAGTTTTGGGTTTTTTTTCATTAAAAAAGGTGGATTTTCCAGTTTTCGGACAATTACTCAAAAACACTTTCACCAATTTGCGAGAAACTTTGGTGAATTGTTTATATCTATTGACATGA